CGTAGAATTTGATCGTCTTCAACTCAACTATCCATTGCAACTCGGAGCTGAACCCAAAAAGTCATGTCCCGGACACTTGACTCCGTTTCCTGCACTTCTGGAAACATTAGCTGAATATTCCTCTGGAGTTCGTATACCAGCAGCCGCATAGAAGGCATTGAGTACTCACTTTTGGAGTGGCAATTGTGTCATGCCACAGCGGAAACATTGACGAAAAAAGAGTCTAGGCTTTTAGCTAGTACCTAGGTCGAGAATACCAAAAAGACATCCTTCATACACATAGAGATGCGATGCACGTCCCCTGGGAAGAAAGGCCTACCTGGAGATCCTCTTTGTTGTTCAAACGTTACAAAAAAATAACCAGTCTTACGTCATCAGTAATGAACATTCAACCATTTCATATAGTTCTCAGAGAGCAGCCGGTTACATTAGCGCGCATTCATAAAAAGGATTTATCTTTGTCGCCGTAGGTGAGGCAGGGAGGTGGAATTGTCGTCAGTCTTCACGTCTCCCCTCAGGGGGCGGGGTTTGGGCTTTAGTGATCATCATCCGCTCCGGTTTTTAAACGCAAGAACAATGTCCACATGGTTCAGGATATCGTCTTTCCCTCTCATACATGTATATGTACAGTGAGTGACCTATCTCATGAAATGTTGACTGAAATTCTGAAACGTGTTTTCGATTAGGAAGGATTACTTAGGCGCGGTTGTAATACTAATTATCTTGCGGAATAATCGTATAGTATTTCGGTTTCGGTAGAATGTCGGCTTTTAAACACACTACTTTTTAATCTCCTGTAAAAAACGTACTCGGTAAAAAAATGACTGCTTAAGTAGCATGCATTTTTCTCATTGATTTTCGATGGTCTTGCAAATTCAAATATATCTTATAGAAACCATAAACAAAAATACGCTTTCTTTCAATCAATTAATAGAGAATCACGTATTCTTTATATTTTTTATTCAAGGAAGGAGTATAATTAGGTTTTAAAAAAGTTTCTAATTATGAGATTTTTTAAGACCGCGCAATGTCCACTCACATAGCATCGTACCTGGCCGTTTATGACAGCTCCTCGTAAAATGTACAACAAAGTCCAGATCCTTTGCAAAATTGTACAAACTCTATATGGTATCTTCCTTAACGCATAGAGGAATATGTGATTTTCCTTACGTAGAAAGCATGCACCTTGTAAACTGAAATCGCTAAACGCTAACGCAATGACAGATCTGGCTCAAAATTATTCGAGAATTGAAAAACTTTTTTAAAACCTAATTATACTCCTTCCTTGAATAAAAAATGTAAAGAAGACGTGATTCTCTATTCATTGAATGAAAGAAAGCGTATTTTTGTTTATGGTTTCTATATGATATATTCGAATTTGCAAGACCATGGAAAATCAATGGGAAAAATTCATGCTACTTAATTAGTCATTTGTTTACCGAGTACGACTTTTACAGGAGATTAAAAAGCAGTGTGTTTAAAAGCCGACATTCTACCGAAACCGAAATACTATGCGATTATACCGCAAGATAATTAGTATTACAACCGCGCCTAAGTAATCCTTCCTAATCGAAAACACGTTTCAGAATTTCAGTCAACATTTCATGAGATAGGTCACTCACTGTATATGTGTTCGGTCAATAATTTCGAAAATCATTAAGAAGATGATTGGCAGCTAAGTGTCCGGGACACTACTTTTAAGGGTCGACTCTGAGTCAATTATAGGCATAGACTACCCTTTTGTGGTGCGTAATGACTGTGACAGCATTTTCTTCTAATGTCTCCGCTAGGATGCAGAATAGAACAAGGTGGAGGACCACTACTCTCAAGTTAGGATTTGGTTTGACTTGATGTAAAATGCATTGATGTCCAATGCATTAATTAGCGAATTTTTTCATTACCATGGAGCACACTGGGTGAACCATGCCCAATACAATGCAAGCTTTCGGATTAATGACATTCAACGAGGACCGGACTCTCAACCTCCTAATTAGGATCGCTAGGTGCAAAAGGTCAGAAAGCGGCCGAAAAAATCGTAAAAATCCTTTTCGAGAGATCTTTCAGCCCGCTTTGGTGGCACGGATGTCGCTTAGTAAAGTTAAGCGTGCGCCTGCGAGCAGCTCCAAAAAGAATGGACCAAAAACATTGGCTCTTTGGGATATGCAGGCGTGAACACGCTTGTTATCGCATAGGTGTCAACAATAAACTGTGCTCTAGGTTTACTTAGAAGCCACGCATTTTGTTTTTTTCATCTTGTTGAGCAGGTGAAAACCTCCCAGATTCGGTTATGCAGCCGCACCTGAGGTAAACAACCCCCAAACCACCTGTAATACGGGACCGGTGATGATAGGGGTTTTTTACAAATGCACCCCGGGAACGTACAGGTGACGAGGTCAAGTACTTCTATGCAAAGGAAAAGCCATTGGGAATGCGCGCTTGTACTGTGAGTGGTTGAGAAATAGGTTTCGTAACCCCCTAATAGTACTGTGTCCATCAGGAACGGCTACAAAACCGTATCTTACCGGAATATACTTGCCCGTTGTTTCGGATGAGTCAGGACATACTGAAACAAGCGAAGAAAGTTTTCGCCAAATTTCCAAAAGACGACATAGGAGTAAAGGTAAATGAAGGGATGTCTGCAGCAAGTTAATTGGCTAACTGTCATTTTGTGTAGGTGAATCGACAGGAGGAATGAGTCATCGTTTTCTAGATCATGCTCGAACCCACCCATTCCCTGGTCAGTTTGCCATTTTTATACCATCGGAACAAGGGGTGGGGGAGGAGGGAGGGGCGCGCAGGTGTGTGCAAGTCTGTCTCATCATCATCATCATCATTATGCTTTTATTTTATGGTACACATGGTGGACGCCGACGTTCGCGACGGTCGACCTGTCGATCATGGACACAGTTAGAATTTCAAGTTAGCCTTCAGACGGCCCCCATACGAATACGAGAATGTCACAGTCGAGCCTTTCGACATTGCCTATCAAAGTACCCAAACGGTAAACTCGCTGCGGTGGTTCGCAGCCTGTCTTCCCAAACCCTATCCGATTTTCATTCTCGGTTGGCAAGGAAACCTGAAGTTAACGTAACCGGTCCGACATGAGAATATGAACTTCCCGGTACTCCGGGTGACATCGCGTTAAGTTTCAGTGCGATTCCTATCCTCGTGTCCACACAGTAACCCTAACTCCATCCTGTAACACGGGGGCTCCATATTTCTGTGCCGAACCAAACGAACCTCACTGGCTGTCGGATAATTGTCGGAAAATTGTCCCACACTTATTCTACAGTTGGGATGCCAATTCAGTGCAATTCCTTGAGTTTTTTAGAAATAGCTCCTGAAGCAAAGATGTCGGAACATCTAACTGGGTTAGCAGAGTAAAACAAATAACCTAACGTGTGTATCTGCTCAACAAGTAATTTGGACATCCAGAAAATGAGATTGCATTGTGAGAGATAGAGAGAGCAGGTTTAAATAATCGTCCAAAACACCTTTCCCTCCGAAAATTACAACATACTAATTTCATTTTTTCACGGGATATCGGCATAAACGCGTTCAGCGAGCAGAATGGTTCAAACATTTTGATGCTATTGATTTGCTTAGAAGCTTGATACTACTAACGCTTAAGGACGCAGTCATCGTTTGTTCGTCGCGTGTTAACCCGTCTTAAGTCGAATGAACTCTTAGCCCAAAGCAGAGAATCCTTTTAACGATTTTAACCCAACGATATTTACAACTGTAGATGCTAACCCCAGCTTCGACGGCAACCAATGGATTGTGTCGCGCAAAGTTATAGTTAGCGTCTAACTCGTCTACAAAAAAGTGTGCTGAGGTACTTGACTACTTGACCTTTGACAATCTTGTCACGTTTGTTTTACTGTAGCATTTGTTTTAACGCGACGAAGACTCCGCCGTTTGTAAGCTTCGCGCCGCTTGCATGCTCTCTGGTCAGGTCGTTGCACATTTTGAAAAATAACTTTATTCACTTACTGGCCTTCCTCCGTTTATGAGGTTAGCAAGCCGTAGTTCGTTAGTTCGCGGGAACGACATAATTTACGTCATTGGTGACTGCCGACGTTAGCGCAGACTTAAGTTCTTCCCTTCTGTAACATTTAATGACATTTAACGTCCTGTATTTATTTGCTAAATTTTACTTCATTTACATTTCCCGCTAACCTTTTCACGATATTGTGCTACCTATATTTTGCTTATTACGTCTTCCTCAACTCCACAACCTGACGATCCTGCCGAGTCTGTTCATGCCGTCCATTTCACTTTGCCTGATTTCTGGCAACGCGCCCCTGAACTTTATTTTATCCACATTGAGTCAGCCTTTTACTCCGCCAACATTACAAAGGAGTTGTCGAAATACCACAAACTTGTGGAGGTTCTCCCTGCCAATATTATCTCACAAGTTCAACCCTTGTTAGTGAAACCCCCTGCAGACGCTCCCTATTCTGTTCTGAAGGCGGAAATCCTTCGTCTCAATGCTGTATCTGACCGACAACGCTATTACCAGTTGATCAAGGAGGAGTCACTGGGCGACCGAAAGCCCTCAGAACTTCTCCGACGAATGCGTACTCTCTTAGGAGACATGCAGATCGACGAGAAACTCTGTTTTTCGCAAACCTTCCCTCCTCCCCCGCCCGCAAAAAGGGACTTAGTGGCGGCTGCGTCAAACCAAAAACCTTTGCCACATCGTCATATGACACGCGTTTGTGGGGCTTTGATGAGTCTGTGTGAGCTCTTAAACGGCGCCGTCCGGATGTACAGAACGCCTTAGATGGAAGTTTTCAAGCTGGCAGGAAAGAGCCCGGGTGACGGGCTTGGTTTGTTGAGTTCCCGTTTCGTGTGGGTATTTGTTGGTTTGAGTGAGGAGATATAGCTGATGGTAGAGGAGGTAAGGTACAGGTAAGGAAGTCCTTATCAGGGTCACATCAAGTGGCGATGAAAAAAATGGAGGTAAAGTCGAGAGAGGAAGTTCGCGACGACTGAGGTCAGTCAATTCTGGCAGTACCGAGTCGATTTCGTCGACTGCAGCTTTTGCCATTGGCTGATAGCCGTACGACTTCAGACCTGATCAGGGATGGGTGGAGGAGAAACTAGAGGCCAGCTGAGAAAGCACTGTATTCTGCCAATCATAAACGGAAAATAGGTTGAAGAAATTTGGCTGCCAGAGGAGGGCTTACGTCCGATGTCGCCGCGGCAGGCTTCCGAGTGCCAACGAGGCAGGCTCCAGAGTGGCCTGAGCGAGAGCACGTCTGCGCCGCCCTTTAATTTGATTGGCCGGTTTGGATAATTGTGTCTGGAGAAAACCAGACTGTCGCTGGTACGTACGGACAGGTACGCGCTCGAGGCTCGGAGTTGCAGCAGGCGTCCGGAGTAGAGTCAGTACATCCTTGTTCATGATAATTCCGCGCAATCTTCAGTAAAATACCCCTGACGCGAAGACATTATTTTCGTGGTGACTTCCAGTCGGGGGGACGAGCCTGCCTTGTCTTGAAATGGGGCCCAGACCGCGATGGTCCCTTCTTAATGCGATCTTCTTGACAGTCACACTAATGTGTCATGCGAGACTCCCTCACGCAAAACTCGTATGTGTGGATTTAGGGTTCGGGTGATACTTTTTAGCTTTGCCTTCCACACTTGTCACCAATCGTCTCAATGTCGTCTTGTCATATAGATATGCTGACGTGGAAGGAGTGAGGTACGGTGGCTGCCGAGAGAGTCTGCTGCAGTGTAAACAAATTCGTGAACTAGTCACTACTAAGCCCTATTCTGCAGAGCATTTGTTTTTTTCTTCAGCTCATATATTAATTGCTAACGTAGAGTAAATCGTTAGAAACTGAGCATTGTAGACTCGGCCAAAAAGCTGACATGAATAGTTCAACTTAAATGCCCCTGTTTCAGCAAGCTGTCAACAGGCAGTAAGTAGTCTATGCTTGTTGCGTGACTGCACTATTGAGAGCAAGGGCACTAGTTTAAAGCACGGGCAAATGTTTCGTACTCCCCGTAGGCGATAGACCTACTATCGAGTAGCGCCTCATTTCTGTGTTAGAGTCATTCCAAGGAAACCATTGGTTGGAACTCAATGTACTTTGCCGGTGTGCGCTTTATTATTTTGCACAGAAAGCCGCATATTCAGTGGGCGGACTATGTTATGAAATGTTAACTGAGGTTCCGAAATAGGTTTTGATTATTAATTATTACCTGGGTGGGGTTGCAATATCGATTATCGCATGGCATAATCCCAAAATATTCCAGTCATACCCTCTCCAGTAAGCTTCTTTCCGGTCGCCTGCATAAAATATACTCGGTGCAACTTTACTACTTAGGTAGTATGGATTGTCCGATTTACGTTCGATGTCCTTAAAAATTCAAATATATTTTAGTGAAAAATTTGCAAACATATTCTTTTTGTAATCATAAAGTAAATAATCCTAGACCAGAAGAGAAGCGTTCGGTGTAAAAAGTCGATAATTATGCCACTTTTAATATCACCGAATGCCCGTTCATACAGAATTGCATCTGTACGTTTATAAATGCTGCTCATAAAATATATAACGCGGTCCGTATATGACGCCTTCTTAAAAATATAGAGAAATATCTGATTTTCCTTATACGGAAGGTATACAGCTTTGGAACTCTAGCGAAGTACAGCTGCAGATTGGGTTAAAAATTATTTGCGAATTGAAAAACGTTTTAAAACCGAGAAGCACCATTTCCGATTGTTAAATTCGAAGACGTGTTTCTTTACCAAATGAGTACAAGAAAGGATATTTTTGCGCATGCCTTCTATGAAACACATTTGAAATTATAAAGACGCCGTAAACAGTGGCAAAATTTTAAATGATCATTTTTATCGAGTGTGGTGTGTGCAGGCGGCCGCAAAGAAATTCATTCAAACGCCGGCATCCTGTCGTGACTGAAATCAATATTGCAATTTCATCTGAGTAATCCTTTCCAATCGGAAATAAAGCCCCGAACGTAGGTTAACATTTCATGAGAAAATCCATCAAACCGTCTACCAAAGCTTCCATTTGCACCTTCAAATCCTGCGTGGACAGCGCTTTTTCAGTTTCAGAAGTGGATTTTTGCCGGGGCGCCAGGTTCTCTTACGTTTACCTACCTGTTCACCATCCTTGAAATTACTATTTGTTTATCTGAATGGAAGGAACTCGGATAAGCACGATGCGCGGGGCATGTGTTGGACCATCAGGTCGTTTGACATTTAATTATTAATTCTTTCACAACTCCTGCTCATTTCACCTACTTAGTATTTCTGGTGGCCTGAACGACTAGTTCAGGGGAGAGGTGTAGGACGGTCCAACTGCATGATAAGGATTCGGTCAGTACTTTCAACATTATTCCACAGGGGACAACGATTAAAGCTGACGCAATTGGGTGAAAGAGATCACCCTAGCGTCTCAGATGAGCTGAGGAGTCAGGTCCAAGGACGAGACGAAAAGGCACCTCCTTTAACCATAAGTGAGAGCCATCCACTCTGTACTGCCTTTGCGCCAATTGCTTTCTCCTCTGATCTCGTTCAGTCTCCCTCTGGATTGGACGATTCCATCGGCCAAATTGGATGACTACTTTGTCAAAGTCGGTCTTCTCGAAACGCATACAATGAGAACCAGACGGGACATTAAAATCAGACCGCAGTCATAAATCACAATTAAAGGAATTACTTTAAATCGCCCAGGACCCAGAAGTCTGTTCAATTGGATCTTCGTCGGTAATGCCATTCTGCCTATATCGTGCGCCGCTGTGCGGCTGCTGGCTGGGTTCCAGAGAGAGAGAGAGAGAAGGAGAGAGAGAGCCCGTGAGACACAACGGAACGAGTGAGTTCCGTAGGAACGATCGGTGAGCACCCCCCTACCATTGCAATTGGATCTGCTGAGAGTAGATGACAGGCGATCATCCGCGATGAACTGAAGTTAGTCGAATGATTGCATGAGCCTCCGTAAAGTGGTAGACATTGAATACTCTGCGTCATGTAATTATCATGCTCGTGTATTGGCATTCGTCCTGAAATGGACCGCGCAATGTATGCGCTGGACTAACACAGAGGCCAGATCGGAATCCGGCAGGCATTATTCAAAATGAGCACTCATAACAACTTCCGACATCGGGGGTGTGATGGTACGCCTGTGGCAGTTCGCGTCTCCTCACCCTCCGCCTTTGTCACGCTACCCTCCTGTCCGCCTCACACGCCTTGTCGATGCGCTGCGGGGATGCGCGAGTGCTCGAAGCCAATCAACGCTGTCCCCACTCTGATTGGCTGGCGACGTGGAGACAACGAAGGGCGCACACACGCGCTGACACAACACCTCGAAGGCGGACTCGGACAACAGCTTGCTTGGAGCGCGCTCGCGGCGACTGCCTGCAGAGCCCTTGTGTACGCATTTCCTTAGGCAGTAAAGGTTGTCCAAATCAAACCGTCTTCCCTGACTTTTGACTGGGAATCTTTATCTTGTCGACCACACAACCTTCGACACGCCCAGTTACAGACCAACGCCGCGCCAGTCGGGATTTGTGCATCCCCTTTTTTTCTCTTGCTGTATAAAATCCTGGCCACTGTATGTTTTTGACCACAGGATGAGGTGGTACGCCCAGGAGCGGGTCTTCGCTGCGCCATCCACCTGCGTACTATCCTGCCTCCGGTCTTCTTCACTCTATCTTGACACCGGGTTCCGATGGGAGAGGAGGAGAGTGTGCGGTAGATGCAGCACAAGTCTACTATTACTGTCAAATAACTCACGCTTAAGTCACCGTCCCTGCTCTCACTCTGCCGCGTGGCACTCAGTGGACACAGTCGAAAACTACGACTGAACTTTTTGGAGTGGTGGTCTTAGGGCCACCGACAGAAGCACAAGCAGACCACTTTTCTGGATCGGCAAATAGTTGATTTCGTTATGCGACAGTTCTATTATGCCTGTCTGCAACAGCACTACCCGGACTGGTGCATGGCAGAGGAAATAGAGAATGAGGCCAACACAGGAGAATACGGTCCCAGACAAATTAGTGCATTTCTCGCCACTACAACAAATCTGACCCACTAAAGGTCATGACTTGGAAGGACCTCAACCGACGGGATACCTCGGTCCTCAAGGGGAGTATTTTGGAGGACTTCGCCAGTCTCCAGTGGCTTCTTCCTAGTGTAATCTCTACGGCGCCCCCACGCATATAAGATCCCAGTTACCGTGTGTGGAAATCTGGCACATTGTGCGGAGACACGGCCGTGTGTGGCACGTGCAGACGGGTCGTCTTGTGGCAGTCCGCGCCTCTTTGCTCTCCACCACTTTGCCTCGCCGCCCTCCTGTCCGCCTCGCACTCTCTGCCGATTCGCTGCTGGGGCACGCGAGGCTTTTCACTTGTCTCTCGAGGCCAATCAATGCTGCCCCTTCCTCTGATTGGCTAGCAGATACCAAGGCAGAGCGAAAGGCGCATACAGGTCCTGGGGTCTAGGTACCTCAACGGCGGACACAAAACAGCTTGTCCGGAGAGACCGCTCGCGGGGACCGCTTACAGAACCTTTGTGTACACACTTCCTCAGCAGTAAAACAGTTGTCCAACCTAATCCGTCTTCCCTGACTTCTGATTTAGGAACCTCTGTCTTGTCGAACATACCATCCCGACTGTCCTGCACGGTACCACACTGGCACCAGAGCCAGGAGGGTGGAGGAGGGAGTGAGTCAAGCGCAGCACAAGTATGCTACCACTATAAACTAATTTACGTGTAAATCACTGTCGTAGGCCCACTACGTGGAGCACTCGGTGGATGTGGTCGTTCGCGAAGACCGAACTGTCAGTCGATTCCGGGAGGTACGGGGGCAACTGTGGCTGAAACTTGTCCACCATAAGAACTTTTAAATGTCTACTGCCCCTACAAGGCACCTCAGATGGTACAGAAGTATCAAAGTCAAAAAATACTGACGAGACGCAATTAGCGGTAAGTACTTCAAGTTCGTCAATAATCCAGGACTGTTGTTGGCGTTCAAACGAGTGACTGAGCCCTTCTGCTACCAGTGTGAACCTTTCGAACTCATGGGTTTCAAAAACTACAGCATGCTGCCCGCAGCCGTTCGGCAAGGACGCGACTTTCGTGGAGCTGGGCCATCTTTCCGGCATAAGCATGTTTTGCTGGGTTAATTTGGAACTCTAGAAAAAACCTAATGGCGCGCAGAGCAAAGCCGACATCAAAAGTCCTCATGAAATGTGAACTTATGTCCTTTAACCCTCAGGGATGGTCTCGCAATATGAGCACTAACGTTCATCAAAATGTGGAGAAGGAGACACGATCGTTGGGACAAGTGCTTTATTAGTCTGACGTTTCGGATTCTCACTCGAATCCATCATCAGAGACAGAGTCAGGTAAGAATAGTGGATTGCCCGGGTGTTGCA